ATGCAAAGGACTCTGAACCTGCAGAGACTTGCATGAAAGCCTAGCTTAGCTTCCAGAACGTTATTAAAGCAAAGCATATGTGTAAGTCTTCGCCATATCAGAGCCTAATTTTGCAGATTAATGACCAACTGGATTGCTCTGGACATTGCCGGTTTATCCATTTACTGAGAAAATGCAGTTTAGTACAAAACTTGCTGCATAACTGAAAATACAGGTGAGACAATAATTGATATTCCCTTACGGGCACACTGCTAAATGCCTCATTTAGAGCAAGTAACCACTAGCACTCTGTACCAGACTATACAATACATCCCACTGAGATAGGTTCTAATAACAAGTAATGTTTAACTAGCACCTTTCTTCTGTGGCTCCCTAAATGTTTTGAAAAGGTGTGTAAGTGCTATGACCCCCATCTTTCAAAAAGGGGAAGCTAACATTGTGAGGGGTTAAGCAATTTGCTCAGTGGCACATATTTTGTCCCCTTGGCAGTAGCTCACTGTAGTATGGGAGATACCCAAGCTAGCCTTCAGATAGCCAGCTCAGGTACTAGCAGCTGTCTGGCTGCAGTGAGAGTGAGCTCAGCACAGAGTAATTCACCCTGCTTCTCAGAAACTGAGTTTATATTGCAGCTGGGAATATAACCCAGAAGCTCTTCACGTGCCTCTCCATGTCAAACACATCCATGACCCTTCTACATAGGGAGGGTAACAAATCAGGCCGAGGGGGCTTGTCCTCATTAACAAGAGGTTTGCTTGACATGACTTGATAGTCAAGTGACAAGGATGAGCTAAATTAACTCTCAAATCTGGTTATGCTATCTGCTTATTTACTTCTGTTCATTACAGCCCATGAATGGAGATGGAATGGGAGTCAGATAATTGGAAGTACAATTTGCAAGAAACGAACAGTGGGGGTTGGAATTACTGTGCCTAATTATTTCACATTGAAACAGACCACACAAAATATCTGTGCCAAGCAGCTGTAATTAAAGTGATTTAAAATAGAAAGATGCTGGCTGCAAGTGTAGAATTTTCAAACAAGTCTCTCTATGCTGCAGTAGCCAGAGACATTTGTAGATCAGGGCTACAGTTCCACTGTTGGGCTTCTGGAGGGCCTGAAGTCAGCCCAGAAGGAAGTATCATCAGCTATTCCCAATCTGCAAGGGTTACTTAGCTGGGATGTCAGACACCCTCATTTAAGTTCCTGCCCAGCCAGTTTCCTGCATCCGAGGCAACTACCAGATCACTGGGCTATGACAGAAAGTCTTGAGATAGCCTTTAAACACACACGCATACATGCACAAACACATATGCACACATGTTGGAAGCAGTCAATGAAAATTCCCTCTGTGACGACTTGAGCCTATGTTCCAGTTTTTCTGGTCCAATTATTACGGCACTCATCTGTAAGATAATGGCAGACCACAGATTTGATCCTAAGGGTCCCACATCTGAGTGGATGCTCTAACCACTGGGTTACAGAACCCACCAATCAGCCATTTCTGTCCCAAGTACTATTTAGGCTATATATAATACAATGTGAAACTGCTCTTAAGAAGAGCTTGAAAGAGATCCATGCCAACATTTTTTACCTACCTCGGATGGGGAGACACTGGCATTCAAGCACCAGGTCAATAAGGCAGAGCAAGAACCTGACCGTGGGCACTGGCTGTTCTAGAGTGTCTCCATTTTCACTTCCCCCAGCCCAACTCCTGAATATGAGGGTGTGGACACACAGAGCACTTGAACTATTCCACGAATGTCACTGGCCAGGAACTGGTTCACAATTATCATGGTTCAGAGGCATCTGCATAAAGGTTTCAAGTAGAATGGTCACTGTTTAGGTATTGCAGTGCTGTTCAACCACCACTAGGGGGTGGGGGTAGGTAATAGGGGTGTGCGAAATGGGCTTTATTCGATTCAGATTTGGCCTGAATCAGGGACGGTGGTTTGATTCATTGATTTGGATCGCTGTCCCTGATTCGATTTGTCCGAATCCAAATCTGAAGATTCAATGCTGATTTGGAGAATCAGCAATTGGGACGTAGACACAACTTTAAAAAGTTTTTTCTACATACCTAGAGGTAGCAGGTGTGGCTTGTGATGCTGGGGCAGATGAAGCTCCTACAGGAGCACTGGGGGGGCACATGGTTGACAGTGAACCCGGAAGCGGACTGGAAGCACTTCCGGTCCACTTCCAGGTCTGCCAAGGAGCGTGCAGGGCCCCACCCCCATGGCCCCTGGCTCAGTGATTGGCTGCAGGGGGGCCCTGGGTGTCCCCCCCCAGACCCAGGAGGCACCAGTTGCTGACCTGGGGGGGCACAGGGGGGCCCCCAGTGCGTTCCTTGGTGGACCTGGATGCGGACCGAGAGTGCTTCTGGTCCACTTTCAGGTCTGCTGCCAAGTGCGCTGGGGAGGCCCCCATGCTTCTGTGGGACACTCCATGCACCGCAGCATCACAGCGATCAGAGCCCCTGCTACCTTGAGGTACGTAGAAAAAAAATTTAAAGCTGTGTCTATGCCTGAGTCGCCAAACCTTTTCGAATCAATTCGGAGGGTTCCGATTCTATTCGGAGAGATTAAAGGGTCCTCTGATTTGATTCAGATTTGGAGATTTGGCCACCGAATCGGGTTGAATTTCCACTGAATCAAATCAGGGACTGACCTTTGACAGCCCCCAGAATACCCAGTCCCTCAGAACTGCAGAAGCAGGAGTCCAGGCACCTGCCCCCTTCCCTTATGATTTTTGATTCACACCCCCCTCCAACACACACTGTGAGTTTGGTAGGTGGGCAGATGTGCCTTTAATGCTAAATACTCATCAAATATTGGCCAAGGGAAAACTGAGCTGCTTGGTCAATGTGATTGACTGATTCATTGTTAATTGCTCCTCACTTGGGAGGTGAGCAGTACCAGAGCAACCAGTTGCCCCACTGATGTTGGGAGGGGAGAGGGGAGGAACTGTGTAGTGTGTGGTGGACTGATCAGACACTAGACACAAAAAGCTTAGTGTCCACATATAACACTGAACAAATTTGCAAATAAATGGTTAAAAAACAAAACACAAACAAGCCCTGATGATCCGGGTATACTTTGAAACATTGCAGGAGGTTTAAACTGTTCTAAATGAGCTTGTATGTCTGGACCCTTGCAGTTGAAATCACATGTAAAACAATCTAAGTGCTACGTGTGCCCACATCCTGAGGAACCTTCCCCCCAATTCCATTGAAACCATGATATTCCTAGTAAAATTTTCCAGTTGGATTTGTTGCTAGTTTGACCCTTTCAGCAGAGGATTCCTGGACAGCTCCAGGTCCTCATTCATTCAAGGCTTTTGTCCCCAGCCCTTCCTGCCTGGATGTCCTTCCAGTGTGGGATCTCCTCTCAGATGTGTTCACAGAGCCACCACACTTCTCATTCTAATCCTCCTTTAGACCCCACTCTGCTGGGATTTCAATTTAATTAGACGTAGCCAGCCTACTTGAGACAAGTGTTCTTATTATTCCTATCCTTCCTTCTCCTCCTCCTGACTGCCTCTTCTTTCCTGTTTTTGCTGTAATCCAATTAAAGACAAGAGGCAAGGAACATGAGCTTCCTCTTCCTACTTGACTGTAGTGTCCATAGTATACTCTGCCCCTGATCTAGAGAGGGAAGCTAATTAATTTGGGTATATCATCAACCTCGCTGTTTACACTTACTCACATGATAAATCTCACTCAGGTCAGTGGGTTTATCTGTATGAGTAGGGCTGTAGTAACAGGCCCTGAAGGTGATATACAATAGATGTTTCTGTGAAAATCACATGGCTATAGCTGTGTCTCTACTTCTTGGAAGGAGGCTGCAGAAGAAACTGTTCTTGACATGTCGTTTGTTTGAAAGTGGATTTGCCCCTTCTTTACTCTTCTTTTTGCAGTTCCAGACCCTCAAATACCCTCTTGTCCTTTAGTATGAGTACTTATCAAGCAAGTATGTACAACATTTGAAGAGGGTCAGAGTTTCTTTCCACCCTCCAATAATTAAATTGGCAGTAGTGCATGTCTGTAAATTCTCTGACACTTAATGTGAACAAAGTATGCTGCTATTATAAGGTTTGATTCAAGGGTAAAAATCACCATCCAGAAGGGAAAAAAACCCCATGCTTTTACTTCAAAAGAGCAAAAAACCCAATGTTTACATTCGTTATTTTTCATACTTCCAGATCTCTTTTATGATAATGCCAAAGCTTAGTGCGCCTTTTCTCTTGACATTCATTAAGACTCTTAAATCCTGGATTGAAGGAAACTGTCTGGCCAGACTTTCTGATAAAGCAACTGTACCCCAATGTTTCTGAAGCAAGGAAAAGCTAAGCAGAACTTTTAAATCTCATTCTTGGTCCTTCCATTCCCAGAATGAGATTAAGCAACTCCTATAATTTCCCTGAGTCACAGTTTACCCAGCATTGTCATGTAGCAGGTTCAGTCAATTGAGTCAGCAGCCACTTTAACAAAGAGGTTTCTTTATTCATGCCAATAGGACTCAGACATCCCTGAGACTCCTCTTGGCTTTCTCTCAAAGCGACATTAATTCCTAGCTATATGTATAACAATGATATCCTGGAAGGGAATAGAGTGACAGTCTACTCTAACCCTTAAATGTATATGTATATAGTCCTCACAAGCATGACATGGGGCTGGATTATCAATATACATTTAATTTTAAAGCCTCTGAGAAAAGGTTCCATAGAGGTGCAGTGTTATTGTAGTTCATAGACAGTACCAATGCCCAGTCTGGTTCAGGTTTTGTACAATATCATAGTTGGTTGGAATCCACTCCCCTTCTGCTTCCTGCATGTTCAGTGTTTCTGGACTCCTATTGAAACAGAACACATCATAGGCTGAGCAACTCCCACAAGGCTTTTTGCCACAGCCAAACTGTTGCAGCTGTCCTTTTGTATTCTAGAGGGTGCAATGTCTAATGGTATGCCATTACACCGAGAAGATTAAATACACCTGCTCATCTTACCTCTTGATGAATCCTCAGAGTAATCTCTTTCTGGTACACCCAAAAGGTTTAGCTGGGAAATCTCCTCTGCACTCACTCTCTGCCAAGCCTGGTTGTTGCTTTCCTTATCTTTCAATGGAGGAGAGTATTCCAGCTCACAAGACGATTCAAAGTTGCAGTCAAATACTGTAACAGGACAACAGACACAATACATGCAAGGTTAATACAAACCACTGTTCCCCCTTCTGATTGGTCATATTTCTTACATGAATGAAGACTGTTGTCATTTACATTTTTCCTCGTGTTTTCTCCATATCCAGGTAACAAAGGGTATTGGGGGAAGCCAGATCAGACCAAATGACAGACGGGAGTTTCTTCAGACTGGCCTGCACTCAAAAGGCACATTGAGGATGCAACAATAAGCAAGCCAAATTCCAGGAAAGACTAGAAGCTATTCAGCTTCCACAATGTGGGAACAATGGAGAGGAAAAGCACCAAAAACTTAAAAAAAAAGACAGGGTTTATCTAAAACAGGGGTGTCAAACCAGTTTGGCCCCTCAGGCTGGATCGAAACTGTGGAGCTTTTCAAGGGTCAGCTCTGGACAAACCTCCGGCAGCAGGGCAAACAGCAGCAGGGGACCACAGGGGATAACACAGCCATCATTTGCTTCTGCCACTGAAATGCATCTTCAACAGGGCTCTGTACCCCAGATTTCTGCAGCAGGCCCTTTCCCTACTCATTTTGCTCCCTAATTCCTGGCCTCTCCATGAGCCAGATCTGGTCCATGAGCCACTTGTTCGATAACCCTGATCTAGAGAATGGACAACGCATAGATCAGCAATTGGGGGAAAATGTGATACAGAGCTTGTTGATTCAAATTAAATTCAAGTCACTGCAGTCTCAAAGCTACTTAGTGACCTATGCATTGGTAGTCTTGGTCCAACTCTTCAAGGACAAACTTCTGTGACACAAACCAGAATTCCAGCTGGTAAACAAAACATAATGGCTCATGGAAGATGAAATAAATCATTCACTCCCGGAAACATGCTTTAGAACTGGAGGAACAATATGTGCAGCAGTCAAGGCTTTATCTGCAGCTGCAAGTCTCCTCGATGGCAGAACTTCAACCCCCAGGGGGTCACCAGCCACCACCTTTCATCAGCACAAATTCTTTGAGACAAAGATTTCTCTACCAACAACCAGCACTACTAGTGCAAGGTGAGATTTCCTTTTCCAAGTACAACAATTACATCATATTAAGATAGTGACGGATTTGCCCAAGATAAATAAATTCCACCCATAATAATACTGCAAGTTCTTAGTGCCACATTCAATTTTTTTTTCATTAATTGCCTCAAGCACATTTGCTTCCACAGCCTTAGCTTGTGGCTGACAACTACACATTCAAAGTCAGTCCTGTGCTTCTAAATTACTTAAATAAAGCCAACACTTAAGGTCTTTTGGAGAAGGCTCCTGCTCTCAGGAGGTTTCCTTTAATATTCACACCATCCTGCCACCGTTATGAGATTAAAACAAATAATTTGAGTTGACATTAAAAAAATCTCTCAGCTAGTTTGACTAAGCTTCAATTACATTCTCTATTACGAATCTCATTTCTTTCTAGTCTGCATGGATTTATTTAGTTCAGCCTATTCTCCTGGCAGGATCACATCTTTTAATCCTAAGGTTAATACTGTTGCCCTCTCTCTTTACTTTTCCCGATAATTCACCTTTTTAATAACAAAATGGAATGAGCAAGGTCTAGAGTTTTTGTTTTTTTTTTGGGGGGGGGGGGGTTTGGTTTACATTCTACTTTCTTAATCATGTATTTTATCACTCTCTTGGCATTTCTAACTGCTCTATCATATCATAGAGGCCATATAATGTAATGAATCCATGACCATGCACAACAAGGCAATAACAAGGATAGAACTTACATTCCCCCTACTTTGAATGAATAGGGGCTGTAACCTCTAGGATAATCTGCTAGTCATATAAATTTTATGACATGGTGGAGAAGACTTTGGTCCACTTGGCAGAGGACAGTAGTACACCATGCTACCCAGCTTATTACAATGCTGCAACCACATTGCAGCTTTTTTTGTTTCTATTTTCCACTCCTCAGGCTTTATTAAAAATCTGTAGAGTGAAGGAGGCTATTAAGTTTTGTGCCAATACACAAAGGAACAGACAAAGAGCCAAAATACCTAATTTAATATTAGTCAGCAGATGTTGTAGTAAAAGCAGAGACTTAAAAGAATGTAACTGTGAGAAGAAAAAGGGAACTTTGCCTCAGCTCGGCAAGATGGTTCCGAGCTCTTACTCTTTAGTCAGTCCAATACTATTTGTTATTAAAGGTGCACATCTGGTGCCCACCAGAGTTTCCACAGGCACCATATATCTTACTATGAGGGATCACTAGAATCCCTGAGTAGAACCCAGGCTTCTCTGTGTTACATGTATTGTGCAGGCAGATTGCAAGATCCCTGCCCTGGCAAGTTTAAAGTTCAAGTCCTTAAAGGGTTTTGCATAAGCTTTAAACTTACACATGCCTAAACCTACCAAATGTTCAATAGGACTTCTCACGTCTTTTAAGTTACCAACCTGTAACAGGGGGACAGGCAGTCATGGGGTAGGAGCCCAGTTGTGGATGACTAGCTGGTAGTTAAAAAGTCCAAGGGGAGACTATTTTTGGATGGTATGAAGGACTCCTAAGGGGCCAAAGCCCAACTGCATGGCAGCATACACTCCAATCCTCTTACATTACCCTTCAGAACTGTTCCAGTCTTAGGCCTAAATCTGGAACAAAAATGCAAGCAGTAAACATGACAAACAATAGAAAGATGTGGGTGACACTTATAATCACAAAGCTACAGAAGTTGCTTACGTAGGCATGCCTTTGTGCATTGTACAGAAAACCGTCTATTTTTATTCCCCATGTCCCAGCATTTACATCAGAAATCCCCTTTTACACAAATGTGCAGCTTGCCTGACAAATGCAGAAACTGCCAATAGAAGGAAAAACATTTTTGACTCAGTAAAAAAAAAACAAACAACAACCCAAAACAAACTCAAAAACACAACAACAACTACATTCTCAACTTGGAGACCAAAATACACCTTGGGATTGCCACTGGCTTTTCCCTGAATGCCTTCAGTGGTCAGGAATTGAGACCAATACAATGCAAAAAGTGAAAAGCTGAGGCTTGGGAGGAGGCATGACAAGAAGATTACACTCATTGTGGCCCACTCCTCCCATTGTCCCTTCTCAAGCCTTCATCACAGGCCTCTGCTCTGCTGACAGTACCAACCTTTCATCTCCCATTTGTTAGATAGTGCTTAAAAATGCCCTTGAGCATAAGAACTGCTCCCTGTTAACATTCACAAAATCATTGCCGCATTCTCCTTCATCACTTCTTAAAACCATATTTTGCCTGCAAAAAACTTGATAGCTGGTGGCCAGAGACTTCTCTTTAACATGGCACTGTGTTTGGACTCTAAGCTTCATAGGGCTGGACTTTGTTTTTTGATTGCATAGTAGAGGGGTGGCCAACCTGCAGCACACAAGTCACAAGTGGCATGGGTAATCTCTCTGTTTGGCACATGGCAGACTGGGGGTGGGGGACAGGCAGCAGCAGCAGATAGAAAACAGAGCCGCAGATTAGGCAGGGAGCACAGGATAGGGAACAGAAGCAGAGCAGCCAGTTGGGCAAGGAAAGGGGATCAGAGTGGCACTTGGGGAGTATGTGGGATGTCTGCCAACAAGATTGGCCCCCCTGGAATGGCACATAACAAAAATAGCCCCTGATCTCTAATTGGGGCACCTATTATTCACTGTAATATTACTTTCAGAACACAAGTAAATAATAGCCCAGATGCTCACTAATATGACCCCCAAAGGCAATTAGATCTGCCTACCTGCAGTGAAAATGTAAAGCATGGCAGAAGACAACAATGCTACTTCCCTAATTTTGTGTACAAAATGGTAACATACACCATTCTGCAGCGGTCTGGCTTAGCACAGCCCCTAAGAGCATTTCAAAATAGATCATTATTCCCTACAAAAGGCTTACATACCTCAAGAGTGTCTGTGATTTTCATTAAATCATTCAAATATATAGATGCAACCTACGTGACAGCCCCCATCAACTGAGTATTTGAACACTTAACAAAACCTAGTAAACATTATCACAACACCATCATGACCTAGGGCATTCCTATTTGTGGTCAAACACAGATAAGTCATATGACTGCTGAAGGTTGCAAAGGAACACTGTTGCAGAGATGGGAATTGCCCCAAATCTCCCAAGTACCAAGCCAAGACAGTAACCCTTAAATCATCAGTTCTCAATCTTTTTAGACTCAAGGCACCCGTGGATAGACTCAAGACACGTCTGGATAGAATCAAGATGCCCCTCAGAAAATGCCAGCTTTCAGGGTGAGATTATACATTGCAATTAGATGATATGAAGAGCACTTAAAACTTGACTGATCACACATTAAGGCTCACTAACAAGTGCCAAGTGCTCTTTAGGAGTCTTAAATTTACACCACTTCAGGCAAGGAGTATCTTTAAACTGTGTTACTTAGAGCTTAAGTTAAGTTAACTTCTGGATGTTCATCTGACAGAAAACCACTAATCTTCAGTCCTCCAATACTGTAGCAAGCACCCCACTCTGAGTCTATGGTCTTGTCACCTGGGGTAACCTGCCACATGCCAGAATGTGTGTGGCACAGGTGCTCCCCGGGGGACAAGTAGCAGTGGCACAAATGTCTGTGCTTATGTGGACGCGGCTTATTTTGTGAATCATGTTCATACAATGGCACCACGGTTGAGAACCACTGCCCTAAGCCATCCTTCCACTGTAGGAAAGGTAACACTCAGTACACAATATAGCACAAATATTTTCACTATGCAGTATGCTTACACTTGATTACAAGCTGCTCTTGATTTATAAGAGTCTTTGTTTTAGTAACTGCTGTAAGATTACATACACCAGATTTGCAAGTGCAGGATTCTTAATAACATCTGAGAATCAGTTTCTGTCAGAATCACTTACTATCACAAAGTTACCAGTATGGTTTTAATGCATCTGCAACAGGTTTTTTGCCTTCCTTTTCTGAGCTGTGTCTTTCCACATTTAAATTTGACACCAAGTTCTTTGTATATTAAGCTGAGCAGAAA